ATAATTATAAATAATAACAATAGTAATCATACCAACAACAATACTAATAGAAATAGTAGTAGTAGTAGTAGTAAAAGAGATGGAGAAGAAGAAAAAGAAGATGAGAACTTTAAGATAGAATATCAATGTAAGGATTAAACAATGATAATAACAAATGTCAAGGTTAGAGGTTCCACTAATGGTATGTCAAACAAGTATAGTATAAACTCTTATTGTTCAATTGGAAATCACACACAAAGGAGGTTCCAATCGGATTATAGATTGTTAACATGATTACATTAGTCATCTTATTTAATTAATGCTAATACTTGTAAATTTCGTCAAACATTCATGATTATAACTTATGTTAATAACAAATCAAGTTCCTTTCATAGCTCAGGTGTCGGTTATACCATACAGTATGGGTTATGAAAGTGCCAAGCATTTGTTGTACCAATTGTGATACAACATAAATCAAGATTAGTCATTTAACAAGCAAAGTATTAAAAAGTGAACAAGATAACAAACATAAAACATGTTAGTATCAAACATTAAAGTCTATATTAAGTTTATACTATACTTATTCTTACACCATTAGTGTAACCTTTTCACCTTGACATAATAAACTTAACTAGACATAATGAAAGAAAAAAAAAATAGATAAACAAAATAAAAACATAAATAAGATAAAAGTTAACTAAGTAAAGGAAAGGAAATGAAAGGCATACACTTGATATTAATGAAAGCAAAGCATAAGCAATACAAAAAAATACAAGAGAGAAAACAAGAGCATGATCTTGATCTGGACACTAAGATGCCTAAATGCATGGCAAATGCCTCCTTTTATAGGCCAAAATTGGGAACTATTGATTTGATGACTAATTGATGAGTAAGTGACCAACTTTTGACTTGGTGACAATCTTTATCTTCCAATTGAAATGACAAAACGTCATTGATAACGTCAAAATTGGAACCACTTGAAAACATGAAAGTTGTAGAAAGTTATCTTAGTTGTCTTGTGTAAAACATTTAGATCATTTAAACTTCTAGAACTTCAGATATGGCCAAAATACTGAACAGTGCTCAGGCTGGAAGACAGATTCGGACTTCTTTGCTGTTGCTCCAATTTGAACTTGAAAATGGTCTCTTTAGATCTTGGGCTCTATATAAAAGTTGTAGGCCTATGTCTTAACTTTCCATCCATATAAAGTAGACCTAAATCTGACATCTACAGCTCTAGATATGATCCAATTACTGAACAGTGTTCTGGTTTGGACTACACCAGCATCTCTTTTCTAAGTTTGACCATCTCTTTGTCATTTCAATTTCAGTTCTTAAATTCATCAATCAATTCTTTCATTTATGTGATAGGCCTACATTTAAAATGAACATTTACCACAAATTAAAGGTATCTTATATTATTAGATAAATTATTATAAAACATGCTTTAGTTAAGGAGTTATTGATACTTCAAGTGCAAGACGATGATATAAAACCTTGATAAAAATACTCTTTTAAGTATCAATCACACCCCCCAACTAGCTTATTACTAGTCCCTAGTAATCAAAGCGTTAAAATAGAAAAATACTTTGCAAATTCCACAAAGTAAGGTAGTCATCATTTAACTTCCATTAATCTATCCAGATAAACAAACTCTCATTAAATTTATATACCTGCTCAATACCTCTTAACAAGATATTAATAAACATTTCTTTTGTGCTCAATGTATCAACACATAATGATGGGGCAACTAGGGGTATTCATCACAAATGTTTATCTTTACGTCAAACGGCAGCTTGAAATATGAGTATGCAAAGCACTTTAAGTTTGTGACTTTGTGAGTAACCGGGTGCATTCATCACAAATGTTTGTATTCGCGTCAAAAGGGAAGTGACTACTTAAAGACAAAAAATAAATCATATCTTCAAAAAAAAAAAAAACAAAGAAAGAAAAAAAGAAAGAAAAAAAATATATAGATATTTCTCTAGTTTGCTACCTTGTTTGTGTTGGTGAGAAGGGAAGATTACAAGTTGAGTTTTCGTATGAATCAATTATGTTGGTTGCACGATAAATATGACTGAATTTGGAAATTTTGTATGGATGTTTGATTTAGAGAATGTGAGTATGCTTATTTTTCTTTATTTGCTATTGTGTACACTAAGTTAAAGATACCAATGTTTGCATGATAGGTCCTTCAAGTGTGATGAATCGAGCCTAATTATGATTGTTATTATTCTTTTTATTTCAAAGGTTTTATGTTTTGTTTTGCTTGAGGACTAGCAAAATCTAAGTTGGGGGGTGTGATTGTGCATCAAAAGTGTCATTAAGTCTCTTATTTTACATATGTATTTATTGTTTTTATTTGGTTGTTTTTATAATAATTGATGTGTTTTTTAGTAATGAAGTTTGTTTTAATGTTTCGATAGGTTTTTGGAGCTTAAATGAATTAATTCACAAAATTCAACGTCGGAATTCAGAACAAAGAATTGAAGAGACATTTAGTTGAAGATTGAAGCAAATCTTGGTTCAAATAAGTGCTCCAAATTTGTCCCAAAAATCAATTCTATTCCAATTCTAGAAAAGAATATCATATGATTTATTTCAAGCCCAAACTTGCCTTATGTTGTGTGCAAACTTCAACCATTAAACACTCAAGGTTTCAATGTCAATCTTAGCCCAAATAATAAGTACATTTGTATACTTATTTGATGCTCAAATTCAGCCCAAAAATCAGCCCCAAATCAGCCCTAAATCAACCCCAAATCAACCTTCAAATCAACCCAAACACAATCCATGATCTTACATGTCCACACAACAAATAACAATTGATTTATTTTGGGCAATCCATTGATCCAAGAAGGCAAGCACATGGATGGAAAGCTGGAGGGGATATTTTAACATTATTTTGGGTCAAAAAGAAGAAGGAGACACCTCATAAATGAGGAAGAAAAACGTGCACCAAAGTAGTTGTAAAGCTGTCTTGATTTGATTTTTCAGAACACCTTTCGGTGTTTTGCCCATAACTTTTGACTCAGGTGTCCAAATGAGCTGTTCTTTAATGATCTGGAAAGGTGACAGAATTGCCTATAAATATGTCTCTAATAGACTTCTCCAAAAAAAGCTTCTAAGAGGGTCGAATTGCTGTCCAAAGTTAGAGTCAGATTTGTGTCCGAATTTTTTCTGAAATTGTATTGTGTTCTTCTTTATAGATTTCGGTTCTTTAGCTTGTAAAACTTATTATTTCAGTTTGATTTAAGTTATTTCATATTTATTGAAGTGTTCTTATATATAATCATGGTTGGCTAATCTCTTTCTTGGATCCAAATCAAGGATGATGGTGGTTGAGGTGAGTTCTTTAAGATATGAATGAATCTTAATGTTTATCTTCTCATTTTCTTCATGAATGATTTATTATTACAAAGAAATTTTAGAAACTATTTAGGTAATGTTATAATCTTGAATTTTTATGCACAAACTTTAGTTTTGGTATAGAGATTACTTGATTCAATGTCTTACTTAATATGAAAGTACTTGTTCATTCTTAAGCAATAATCAATCTTCATCCTTTTAAACTTCATTGTAATATCTTCCAATCTAATATCACCATCGTTGATATTAGGTTAAGTTATCTTATATATCTTGAAGGAATCACCAATACATCACCATTAAAATTGATTTGGATCAAGACTTACTTTTTCTTATCATTTAAAATCTAGTTACACATTTTCATCTTTGAAAACAAATCCATCAATTATTTTCAACCAAATTATATTAATTTAATTTCTCTTGATTTTGTTTTTGTTACCTAGCTTATTTTCTAAATTTAGCTCTTTGTGGATATGACCTCGATCTTACCGAGTTAATTGCTACATCGCATACTTGTGCACTTGCGAGTTAAAACAAGTCGATAATAAAAAGCGGTCAAGCAATTTTGGCGCCATTGCCGGGGAGTTAGCAAGAAAGGTAACAAATTTAGATTTGATTATTGGAAAACCAAAAAAAAAAATCATATAAAAAAAATCAATTAGCTGGTTTTATCGCCTCAAAAAAAGTGACCTCAACTTTTCAGATATTGGACTATGGAATGGACTACTAATTGTTAGCTTTTGGTTGGTTCAACCATTTTTCTTTTGATGTTTATTCTAATTAGTTTATAATATTTATTGTTTATATTATAAGGCTGGTTTTACCGCCTCTTGTTTATTTTATTTTATCTTGTTGTATTGTTGTTGTTTTATTTTTTTTGAAGTACTTGGCTGGTATTACCGCCTCTTGTTTATTTTATTTTTTGTTATTTTATTGTAATTATTTTTATTATATTTATTGTTTGAAGTACTAGGCTGGTATTACCGCCTCTTTATTCATGGACATGTAAAAGTAATCTTCTCTTGATCTTCCAATGCAATTTCAATTTGGTTGTAACTCGGATAGCCATCTAGGAAACAATAAAATTCATGACCTGCAACTCTTTCTAGGATTTGATCCATGAAAGGTAAAGGAAAATGATCTTTTCTAGTAATTGAATTAAATTTTTTATAGTCAATGCACATGCTCCAACCAGTAACAGTTTTAGTGGAAATTAACTCATTGTTCTCATTTGTTATCACAGTAACTCCAGACTTCTTGGGTACAACTTGGGTAGGACTTACCCATTTGCTGTCAGAAATAAGATAAATGATTTTATTATCTAGAAGCTTAATGACTTCATTTTTCACTATTTCTTTTATATTAGGATTTAGCCTTCGTTGCATTTCTCAAGAGGGTTTAGCATTTTTCTCTAAATAAATTCTGTGTGTACAAATCAGGTCTATCCTAATGCATTTTTGTGCATTTTCAGAGTTTGTAATAACTTACCTTCTTGATGTGCATTAAGTTTGGAAGAGATTATTGCTTGACCGCTTTTTATGATCGGTTTGTTTTAACTCGCAAGTGCACGAGTGTGCGATGTAGCAATTAACTCGGTAAGATCGAGGTCATATTCACAGAGAGCTAGATCTGAAAATTAAGTTAGGTAACAAAAAAAACTCAAAAGAAATTAAATTAACAATAACTTGGTTGAAAATAATTGATGGATTTATTTTCAAAGATGAAAATATATAACTAGATTTTAAATGACAAGAAAAAGTAAGTCTTGGTCCAAATCAATTTTAATGGTGATGTATGAGTGATTCGTTCAACATATATAAGATAACTCAACCTAATATCAACTATGGTGATATTAGATCGTGATATTAGATCAGAAGATATTACAATGAAGTTTAAAAAGATGAAGATTGATTATTACTTAAGAATAAACGAGTACTTTCATATTAAGTAAGACATTGAATCAAGCAATCTTTATACCAAGACTAAGGTTTGTGCATAAAAATTCAAGATTATAACATTACCTAAATGATTTCTAAAATTTCTTTGCAATAATAAAACATTCATGAACAAAATGAGAAAATCAACATTAAGATCTATTCATATATTAAAGAACTCACCTTAACCACCATCATTCTTGATTTGGATCCAAGAAATAGATTAGCCAACCATGATTATATATAAGAACACTTCAATAAACATGAAATAACTTGAATCAAACTGAAATAATAAGTTTTACAAACTAAAGAACCAAAATCTATAAAGAAGAACACAACACAATTTCAGTAAAAATTCATACACAAATCTGACTCTAACTTTGGACAGAAATTCGACCCTCCTAGAAGCCTTTTTTCAAGATGTCTATTAGAGACATATTTATAGGCAATTTTGTTACCTTTCCAGATCATTAAAGAATATCTTATTTGGACATTTGTGTCAAAAGTTATGGATATAACACCAAAAGGTGTTCTAGAAAATAAATCTGGACAGCTTGGAGAACACTTTGATGCATGTTTTTCTTCCTTCTTTATGAGCTGTCTCTTTTTTCTTTTTAACCCAAAATAATGTGACAATGTCCCCTCCAGCTTTCCATCCA